ACCCCCAAGACGTCTTCAGAACCCCCTGAAAAACCTCCAAGAACTCTGAGCTCTCAGCGACGTCGTCGGCGTCGTCGGCGTCGTCGTCGTCGTCGTCGTCCTCGTCCTCGTCGTCCTCTTCCTCCTCCCTTCCATCCTTCCGCTGCCTGCTAATTCACACTGTGGTGGTAAACATGTTTCTTGGATCGCGCGCCTTCCCCCCAAGAGGGAGTGACGAGCCAAGGTATGTAGCGCCACGGCTCGACAAATAGTGGGGCTCACCTGGGACGCCATCAGTCTTGACAGTCTCCCGACCCTGCTTGTCTCTCCCACCTCTTCCTCCTGCTGCTGCCGTTGCTCCCAGTCCTCCAGTTCCTCCTCCTCCTCCTTCCTCCTCTTCCTCCAACTTCTCCTCGTCCTTGCCTCCCTCCTCCCTTTCGCCTTGCTCCCTGCTCTCCGCCAACCGCCCTCGCCCAGATGGAGGCGGCACCCACCGGCCGAAACCACTGCCCAAGCCCATGAGGGCCCCCCTGCTGCCAGGAGGGCGGCACGGACGGCGGCGCCCGGGCCGGGCCTCTGCCGCTTCGAGCAGGGGAGAGCACGCGCAGGCGAGACGTTCCCACGCCATGCGCAGCTCTGTGCCTCCTCCTCCTCCTCCTCCTCCTCCCTCCTCCCTCCTCCTCCCTCCTCCTCCTCCTCCCTCCTCCTCCTCCTCCTCCTCCTCCTCCTCCTCCCTCCCTCCTGGGCGGCCCTGGCTGGTGAGGGCCCTGGCTGGTGAGGGCTCTGGCCCGCCGTCGCCAGGCGTTCAGGTCCCGCCCCTGGGCGGGCAGGCGCGCTTCGCCCCGCTCCGCCCCGCTCCGCCCTCCCAGCAGCCGGCAGCGCCGAGCAGGGAGGCGAGCAGGCACGGCAGACGCGCCGAGCCGTCGGTGCGGAAAGCAGCACCCGACGACGACAACACCCAGCCCAACTCCTCCCTGCCCTCTCCTCCTCCTCCTCCTCCTCCTCCTCCTCCTCCTCCTCCTCCTCCTCCTCCTCCTCCTCCTCCTCCTCCTCCTCCTCCTCCTCTCCTCCTCCCTCCCCCTCCCCCCCCCCTCCCTCCTCCCTCCCTCCCTCCTCCCTCCCTCCCTCCCTCCCCCCTCCCCTCCCTCTCTCCCCTCCCCTCCCTCCCTCCCTCGCCTCCCTCCCCGCCCTCCCTCCCTCCCTCCCCGCGCCCAGGGCGGCAGGCGAAGGGCGGCCTGCAGCGGGATACGAGTGCGGCGCGGGGTACACTCGACTGGAAATCTATGTGGAACCGTTGGACAAACGTCCACCACCGATCGGACAGATGCGCGTCGGCGGTCCAAGACCCTGGGTTGCTTAGCGCTGAGCAGCTACGGGTTTTCAGCAGTGCCAAGCATCAGCATGCGGAGTTCTGGGAGTTGTAGTGCCAACTACATGATTCGGGCAGTTCTCCCCTGGCGATAGGAGAATCGCGAAAGGGACCGGACCCGCATCGCACCACCGGATCAGGGCTGAGCGCGGCCGTTGTTGGTAGCTGTGTAGGTTGAAGCGCAGCAATGGCAGAGGACGCCTGTCAGTGGGATCTGCTTTGGTGGTACAGGCATTGCTTGCAGGGGTTTTCGTTGGGCCTGTCCTCCTCGTCAAACCAATTCACCTTGTGGTGTCTCGCAGCGTGTCATCGCCAAGGAGGTAGAGCACGTCAGCTAGAACCAGCTCATCTATGAAACCGCTTGGGGGACTTTGGTTGGACAATGTGTGGACTGTTGCCTGGCAACGACGGCAGGGTGCAAGGGATGCCAGGCCATCAGAAGGATACCTAGTGAAGTACGGCTTCCTGGGCAGCGCACGCCGTTGTGCGTCATGTGTAACACGAAGGGGGGCGAATGTCACTTCTGTCGTGGCCAACTTCACTTTCGCCCTTTGTCCTCCACCCAAATTTCGGCCGCTCAGGATCTCCCAGAGGAGGGGGGACCAGGCCGACAGGACGTTCGAGGGCGACGTCGTGCTGCAATCGGAGGCGTGAGCTTCTGAGGCCACGCCTTGCCCCGACCCATGCTTTGCAAACAAAAACGAGTTGAGGACTGCTCTTGCCCCTGATGCGCGTTGCTGCTGACGGGAGTGGTTCCTCGCTTCGCCCTGGTCTTTCCCCTTCTCCCCTTCTCTCTGCGCTCCACTGCGTGTCCTCGCTGGAGCTGCCAAGTTTTTGCGTAGCTGCGGCATGGCCCGTCGCCGCTCTTCGCCCCTTCTTTACTCCGCGCGGTGACCGCTGGTGCTGTGGGCTTTCTTTTCGCGGCTTCTGGCTGTCTCGTGGCTTGTCCCACGGAACGGTTTGCGGAATTTGTCGCTTTTGCCTCTCGTCGCCTGAGGCGTAAGGGCCCCTGGTGGAAGGCTGGCCCGTGCCCGGGGATCGTCTTCCTGGTAGTGCGCGTGGCCATTTCCACGGGCGCCGCCTGTGGTCGGCGTTTTGGAAGCTTGTCCACCGGTGGCCTCACCGCCTTGCTGCTTGCGTCTTGGCCTGGGAGCTGGCTGGCAAGGCCGCGACCTCTTGCAGTTTTTTGCGTCTGCGCTG